TATTTTATATCACTTGACAGAAGTGGTGTGGTTTGATGAGAACCTGTTGGATATACCTCATCAGTATGTGCAGGCCAAAGAGATTTATTAGGAACAAAGTGCAGATTTAATTGGTGTTCATAAAAAGGATCTTTGAGATTTTTTAGGAAACTATAATATATTTGTTACTACTATTATGAAGAAGATTCTGCAGGAGTGTACTGCAGGGTGAGTTTGATCAGCTAAGAACAAAGTATGTTGGATGTCATGCTGGATGTTATGAACCATATACAAAGGCAACTTACTCGTGAGTAGTGAGTATTCGTTACCTTTTTGAGCTTTAACATATTAGATCCTAATTTGATGATGAACTTGGTGGGTGTACATAAATTAAAAGTTAAGTTCATCATTGAGTTTTGTGGGATTATAAATTTTTTTCTTGAAACCTTTGAACAATGTTTTAAATTGATTTCCTTGCCATAAAAGCAAGGTGCATTCCCTTGAGGTTTGGTGGTATTCAAGTTGGGGAGAATGAAAGGAAATGGTAGGTTATTAATAGTTTTGAAAAATTTAGAACAAGCATAAGAAAATTGTGAATATGAATGTGAAAAACAAAAGAAAAAGATGCTTGTTTGAAAAGAAAAAAAATTAGAGAATGAAAATAATTGTGCAAAGGAAGTTTGGGAAGGGTGAGCAATAGAGAAAAGAAATTGGTGAATGAAGTTGTGATGTGTAAATACCATGTATAGTGAATGTTTCTTTTGCGTGGCAACTTCGATTCAATAGCCTAAGAAATGACCCTTTGTTGTGAAACTTGGCCAAGCTACAACCTTTTAAGACCTTAGTGATATTTTTGCTTCCATGATTTCGTTTATGATTGTTAGATGAATGTATGAATTGAACTGTTGCTAGCATTTTTTTCAGATGAATGTAATTGTTTCGCGGTTGCAAACACGTAAATTTCTTCATCCTTATTCTGAAGAGGAGTGTTAGGTTTGATTCATTCTTGATTATTTGTATTGCTTTAGAACTTTTGACATGTGTTTTGTGCTTAGATTTTGTTTCGTAATCATGGTGTCGTTGTAGTTTAGTGGTAAACATTGCTTCGTTTGTACTTTTGATAATTAGACCATACATTTGTCTCCGTTTGTAAAAAAACTTGTTTGATCATAATTCTTGATTATTGCTCTTGTTTCTTTATGTTTGATTGATTCTTGTTTGAGGATAAAAAAAATAATAAGTTGGGGAGAGTTGTTAAGGGACAAATTGTGCATATTTTTTATAGTATTTTGTGGCCTTTTCCAATTGTTTCTTTGATGTTTTAGTAGTAAATTCATAAATTTTAGTGTAAATATTCAAGTTTTTGATTTTATTGTAAATATTGTGAATTATGATCATTTTAATGCTTTTTGACAGGTCTTCTTGCTGATATATAATGCTTGGAACCTATGGTGAAGGGAAGAAGGCATGAAACAACATTTTCGGAGCGATTGTGTAGGTAAATTGTGCTTAATGCGTTTTTCAGCGTGGTTTCAACGCAGTTTCACTGTTGAGGCGGTAACTAATAGCCTTCAGCTGCGCTTAGCGCGCTTTCTGGAATTTTGCCTCTATTTTACTGATTGCGCTTAGCGCGGTGCCACTTATAGGCACTTTTTGTACTTTCTATAAATAGTTACCTTGGGAGATATTTTGAGATATATTGTATTTTTCAGATATTTTTATCTCTCTTCATTCTAAACATAGTTTTAGAGAGAGAAACAAAACCCTAAGAGTGAGAAGCCAAAATTAAAGTAAATCGGAGCTTGATCTTCGAGTAAGTAGCTTCGATCTCTTGTTGGTTTTGGATGTAATCTTTTGATACCTTATGTATTTTATCTAATTTATGTTTGTGAACTAGTTTTGATTCAATATTGATGTTGTCTTTGATTTCGTATTTATGGGTCTTGACAAAACCCTTTCCAAATCTTAGATCTTAGATATTCATCTACCAATGAGTAAACTTTTGACATAGTTTTGTAAGTTGATATTCACTCGTATCTTCTATTTTATTGTGTTGGTTAGTAGCATGAGTAGAATGAGTAGGATTAATACAGTATTGTGAGAACGCGTGATAATAAAGATGAAAAACTATGTTCACTTACATTTGGCAAATTAGTTGAATGCATGTAAAAAGGGTTAAGCGTATGTACGTACTTAGATCATGGAATTTAATATGAATCAATCATCCATCTGATACGAATGTCATCTTTGTTTATCTTTTTATATTTGATTTGAACCTCTATAGACATATACTCTTCAGATCTGGATCTAGGATGAATACTTGTTAGGTTCTAAACTCTAGACATAGATTTAGACTTAGCATTTGCGTGAGTATCAGTTCTTAATGCTCTGTGTTGTTGAGTTGTGTGAAACATCGCCAATGAGACAATACAGTTGTTCTCTCGATGTCACGTTAGACATAACCTCTCTTGTGCGTGATACGTGAGGATATTAGACGAATGATTGATTTGTGTTTAACTGGTTTGAAGAATGCACGTGTTATCAATTGATGAAATCCAATCCCAACAAGACTCCGTTTATATTTTCAGTTTTTACTGTATATTTTTCATCTTTATATTTTCTGCCTTTATTTATGGTAATGTGAATCTTTTAACCAAATTTTCACAAGAAGCTTAGAAATGTAGAAACTGTCGAATGACATTCTTTTCCTCGCATCGATCCCTGTGGAGACGAAAAAACTGAGTACTAAATTAATTTTTGCTTGCTGCTTTACCGCTTCAACAATAATCATGGTCTCCTAGTCAATAAAATACCTGGGGTAGATAACACTGATATAGGTCAAACCTTTGTCCATTAAAATGGATGTTCCGACCAAAAGTAAGAGGTATGACCTCAATGCACACATTCTATGTTATACAACTCGTGCATCATCAGCATCATCCTCTACAACTGCAACTAGGTGTTGCTCATATAGATCAATCGATAATGAAAACTTAACACAACATTCCCTGTGCCATCTAACTACTGCTGAGCTTTTCTTGGGCCAACTTTGAAATACGTCACTATCATGTCTAGTGCCTCATGTATTATGGTTTTTGATTTGTTTAATAATTTTCCCTATAAGGGAAGATGAAGGAGGCATGAGACATCATCAAGTGTGAAGAACATCTTACATATCAAAATATGAAATGACGACGTATCTGTGTGCCATCTCTCTACAAAAGCAGGCAATGAGCCATGGTTAATATAACCATAGTCAGTTCTGCATAAATCCTACAACCCAGATATCTGCATTAGGCTGCACTAACTTTGTAACTTTCCTACCGTGGGTGATACACTTTAACATATAACAATACTGCAAAAAATAGATACATCGTTAGACAATTAAAATATTATAACGCAAATGTTTAAAAATAATATTTAAAATATTTATATTATCTCTCTATCCCATATGTGTCTAGTCACTTGGTCTGAATATAGAGGAAACAATGAAAGGTCTAAGGGGCCTCTTGAGAAACCCTACTGGGCAACATCGACTTATGGGGAAAAATGGGCATTTGGGACAATAGCAGACACATGAATCAGAAAAGATGATGCTAAAGACCCGTGAACATGTGAAGACGACCCCACGTCAGCAAAATAAGTCTCTCAAACAACAAGTCACAATGGTCTAATTTTCTTCCTATGAACTGAAGCATGTTTGGACACTCTACCATGTCTCATCCTTTCTTGGTTGGCAGACATTTTTTCTGCAATCAAACAAACACAACAGGGAGATGTCATAACATGAATAGAAATAAGATGCCAAATCAAAAATCAGATGTCAAAAAAATTAAGATTCCAATCTTCGAATTAAGGGACCAAATTATACAATTCGAACTGCATGCGAACCAAGACCCGAGAACACAGAACAAATCATACGATTCCTATAAGCTATAATGCTCTCAAACACAATACAATGCAGTTCAAGACAAGTACAACAAATATTTATATTGTACTTAAGCCTAAAATATCATACCTATAGTCTATTTTAGTAATGCTCGTATGTCAAATCAAAAAAGAAAAAAAAGAATGAGCAGCTTATCAATTCAATAAAGGTGAACTTCAAATAAGTGTAATGCAAATACATGATAAGCTTCAATGCAATAAATAAAAGCTATGATGAGAAATTTCTTTGTAATCGCTTATGAGTACCCTTTCTTCGTATTCTCTATTTTTGCTCTTTTGCAGAAATAAAAATGTAAAGGGGGATGGAATGACGCGGGTTACATAAACACAAACGCTCAAATTTCAATCTCCGAATTAAATTGAGATTTTAGAATCTGGATTAGTTTGAAAATTGTGTGGCCTTGATTCCAATCTCCAAAATTTTCTTAATAGCATACTTTAAGGATTATTTCCAATCTCTAGAAATTATTTGTGTTTTAAATGCATTCGAATTTTAAAATCTAAAATTGAGAATTATATTTCATCGTTTTCATAAGATGTATGAGTAAAACATCATAACCTCTATAATTTTAAGATTTAAAGCTCTAAACTAAAAAGGTGAGCTCGGAACCGGCCCGACATAATGTGAGATTTAACATAATTATTAAAATAAATTTTTTTTTTCATCCTCCATAATTAAAATACTTGATTTTTTTATATATTCTAAAATAGTTTATATAAAACATAAAGTTCTCCTTTATGAAAAAGAAAATATAGACATAAATAAATAAAGATATATAAGTTTAAACTGACATATTTTCTGTAACATGTGAGGAAAACCAGTTGCATCTCTCACATCTCCTATTACATTACATTACATGAAGTGTAACCAAAATATATTTAAAAAATTCTTGAAAGATAATGATTACTCCAACATAATATACATACACTGTATACATAATTTGAACATTTTGAATAGATGGTACACATGTGTATATATGACTGTATGAAACTTCCATGAAACTTCTGCTATGACTGTAAGAAACTTCTGAAACATTTTAAAGAGGCCTCTAAACAAAATTTTATCATCCTTGTTACTGCAACTCCCCAACAGGTGCCTCATTCAGCCACAAGAAATGAATGAAGTCGTATAATTTCGCACTGACACAAACCTGGCGAAATTTCGAAGAAACGAATCAAAAAATATTTGCATAAAATGAAAATTAAAGAATAATTTACAAGCAACATACCTTGTATGGAGTTGGATTAAGTCTTCTCATGTGATCAGGTCGCATTTGTTCAAGTTGCTTGATGCATTTCTCTCTTATGTCTTTTAAAGATGGTAAAGTTTCACTCTTCTTATCTTCAATAAATTAATAGCATGTTATATAAGAGAAATAGCTTTTTTTTTACTGTCATAAGCTACATTTATTGAATATATCAGAATAAGCTTCTGTAACTGTTTACCTGAACTCCCAGCAAAGTAACATTTTAGAAGCTCCTCAACTTGCTGTGGCACTACATATGCTCTCTTCGATTCTTGAAACGGATGGCGACACAATATTCTTTCTCCTACCTATGGTAATAAAAAATGCAAATGCATATATTTATAAGGTTTTGGTTTCAGAACAAAAGTCCAATTTTCAATAACTGATTGAAACAGTGATGGTTAAGTTCAAATGTATGCAGAAATGATTTAGTCGATTAAATGATTAATCTATCATGGCGATTCGAAGATGGTCACACAAATTAAGTCAAAAGTTACCTTTGGAGGGGGTTCGTTTTCTCCTTTCATTATGTCAACCAAGGGATAAGTTTCTTTGCCATATAATCTATAAATTCGCTTCTTACAAGGAATAGAGACCTGAAAAACAGATAAAATAACAAAGGATGAAAAGATTATAAGTTTATGATTAAATTCGAATAGATGATTCCGTTTGTGTTTAGCTGTGTTCAAACCTTTGAGACATCTTCAGAAAGTTTGATTCGAGGCTGTTTGTTTATCTCAACTAGCTTGAAAACAACACCTAAAGCTGCTTGAGTATAACATGTAACAAGATATGTCCCAATTCCATAGGCATCAACCTCATGACCCTATAAGGCAAAATGCAATTCAATACAAATAAAAGGTAGGATCTTATGAGAAACAAAACGTGACTAACTATTAATGTTACATTTAAAATAAGTATATGCTTAAATAAAGAGTTAAAAATAGTATAAATTTTAAACCAACAAATGATTTTCTAGTATATTTTTTAATTTAAGAAAAATGCTAGAAGTTTCAGCTTCCAAATAAAATTTACCTGTTTATTTAAAGCATCTAATGTTTCCTCATTAAGATCGTTACTAGCAGTGATACACATCTTCCCGAAATCGGGCACTCCAAATTCCTTCTCAATGGAACAAAAGAACTTCCTTGACTCACAAGACAAGTATGCGAGGTCACCCGAGTCAAGTCTAATGCCAACTGCTTTGTATCTGCACAAGTAAAGCTTCTCAACATAAGAAACATTTGCATAAAAAAACAGGCATACTCGAAAAAATAGACAGTTTTAGCAATCAAGGAAGCAAGTCACAAAAGCAAAATAAGAAAACAAAAGAGTTCATATAGCTAAATAAATCCTATAATCAAATGATATTGGTAGACACGAAAAATGTATCAACATACCCTAAATCACTGAGAGCTAATGCAACAGCACAGAAGTTAGGAACTCCACTTCTCACAACCTGTCAAAAAATGTCAATGTGATAAATGCAGAAACAGAAAAAGCTTTTTTTTTTCTTTCTGTCCTAACCCTCCGGTTAAGAATTAAGAGATATTAAAAGAATCTTGCAAATAAATTCTTCAATTAATGGCCTATTCTATAAGCTGCTATTAGCTTCTCCATTTCAATTTCTTTTGAAGTTATTTGGTTTATTTTCTCCATAAATAAAAGGCTTTATATAAGTGTTGAACCATTAATTCATTTGAATTGAGAAGCTCCCATAAGCTAGAGGCTAATCTAAACTTGGCCTAAGCCAGAACAATGTACGTTATACCGATACCAAGATTATGCGTATCTATTGCATGAAATATATAAAGTAACTAATACAATACTAAATACTTACATCATAAGTGTCTACAAGGGCAAGAAAGTTATCAGGAAATGCCAATGCATATGATGTGAATGCTGCCAGCTCACTTTGATTGGTATCAGAAAAAATGCCACACAATGAATTTGACCACTGCATAGTGAAAACACAACACAGATTATACACTGACAAATCCATCTTTGATCTTGTTAGAGTGCAAAACATAAATATATGCAATAAGAATGGTAACAATTCGGTAGAACATTAATATTGTCGCTGGTAAGCGGTGATACAATTAACTGCTACAAGAATGGCATCAAATCAAATTCCTACCCCTTCCCAAAATAACCTAGGTAAGAACCACAAGAAAATATTGTTATGGATGTCACCTTAATTTTGTTCAGCCACTTTTGAACCAAAACAACAAAATCTTCACAGGCACCTGAACCATCTTTTTTCGGCAGTGATTTGTCTGCAATCTCGTTAACGCCCTGCAAGAAAGACAAAAGTAAGCATTACAAATGAAATGACAAGCAGTATTCAATGAAATTATCTTTATAAACGTTAATTAAATATGTCAAAAAATCAATGAAATGGTTGTACACTCACCATATACGAGCTAACGAAGGCATGTGAATGAGTGCCACGAAGGGGGATCCCGAATAACCTTCCTGCTGCAACATTGCTAATGGTGTGCCACATGAAAAGCCAAGTTATATGAAAGCAAACGGAAGAAACTTAAAATTCACTAAAGCAAAACAAAATGTTAAAGGATGTCATGTTAATATGATATTTATGACACAATACTATTGCTGATACATTAATCGAGACAAGGCTGGCAATCAATGTTTGAACCTTACTGCACCACAATCCAAATTATGTGATCCTGGATTCACTAGCACATTTTGAACAAAACCTAAAAGAATCTAGATTTTCGGAAGCCATTTAACCTAACTTAATTACAAACTACAAACTAATAAGGCATATAGTTTACATGCCATGACGCCAAAATCACGCCCTGCCATCTTAAATCGGCATTAACTAAGTATTCTTGAATCTCTGCAAGGTATTAAAAACTCCAATATTTTAAATTGAAACCAATACTAATATGGCAGTATACCGGCACTGCAAAAAGCTTAGTCCACAAAAAATCTCAAGTTGCATAATTGTTAGATATGCACAATATTATTAACATATTCTTCCTATTACCGTGCCAAACAAACGAGAGTCGAAGTTGTATAATTGATAATACCTTGTTGCATCAAAGCCTCCAATATAACCGTACTTTGATGCACTTATTCCACCATCAGGCCCCTGCATAAAAGTAACATTCTTTTGATAAATATTGAGAAAGGAATCTCTTCCTAAACCAACTCGCCATTTTTTTACAGTAAGATTTAGTAACCTGAGCCCTTCGTAGTCCAAACTCGAGCAAAGTTTTAGATTTCCCAGCAACAAAACGGTGCCTTGCAGCATTAGTAGCTACTAATGAGGCAAAGTTAATTAGATTAACAAAAGGTGTTTCCAGCAATTGAACAACCTGAACAATAGAAACATCGATTTAACGTAAGAGATGATTGAACAATAGAAACGTTGATTCAAGGTTGATTTAATGGTAGCAAGTACTCACTGCAACTGGACCTTCAATTCTCATCAGTGGCACCTTAGGAAAAACAACAGTTCCTTCGGCAATAGCATACACCTCAACTTCGGAACAGTCGATTCCTCTAAGATAGTCAAAGAAACCATCCTATCATTTAAATTTAATCAATAATAATTACCACATTCAAAACATTGCACGTTTCAGATAATTACGACTTATTTGAATCATAATCACTTATTTGAGAGATCTTATGAAAACAATTATAACTACTTTAACTTATTCTATCTTTTGTAACAGAAATAACATAAGCAAATAAGCACTTATTTGATAAACCTTCTAAACAAACAATGAAACACCAAAATCACAAGCAATTCAGATTATGATTAAATTTACCTCACATGAAGCAGGCAAATTATTCTTAATAAAATTAATCTCCTCTTCAGATATCTTGTAATTAGAAATGAACCTCACACATTCTTCCAAACCAGCGAAGATAGTATATTCTCCTCCAAACGGACTCCTACGAAAGTACAAATCAAATCTGAAAAAAAAAAATTATCATTATTATCATAAATCGAATCTTATGATAAACCACGTATCAAAATTCACATTATAAGAATTGAATAATAATTAAATCAGGGAATGAAGAATGAAGAATGGTTTGGATGATAATAATAATCAAGATTTTAAAAAAAGCTACCGCAAAAGCGGCAGCGTAATTGTGGTTAATTTACACTGTTGCGAAAGAATTCAGTGTTACAACACATGTATTGAGCAAAATCGCGAACGAATTCAGTGTTACAACACATGTATCGAGCAAAATCGCGAAAGAATGCGAAAGCATTAGTTTCTTAAAAGCTTGATAATAATGGTGACTTACACAGCACGTTCTTGATGTTTACCAGCTTTCCAGTATGCGTAAGCCATTGTGAATTGATAGTGATCTGTGAGAAGAGGTGTTACCATTGGATTCGTAGGTGTAGGTATGACCCGACTCGAACCATTTGAATCCATTGTTCGTTGATGCGTTAATTTTCTTCTTCAACGTAGATTCTGCTATAATAACAATATAAGAATAACAACAGTTTCAAAGTTTGAAGAAAGCTTGGGAGTCACGCGCGTTTAATCAGAGTTTCGCACTTTATGGTAAAGACCGTTTGAATGAAAATTAATTAAATTAACTAATGTCATAATTATGTATTTAGACATATTTCTATAGGCAATGTATTTAGACGTGTAACTATACTACTATTATTCTTATCCCATATTTGACACAAAATAGGTATATATTATAAAAGTGTTTTTTAAAATAAAAAATATATATTTATGAACAATAATATAAACCATGTATGAATAATACTTCCGTAAATTAGAAAGTATACAAAAAAATATAATTAAACAAACTATATTACTAAACTGAATTGTACTGCATCATAAAAAAAATTGAAACATTTAATGTGAACAACTTTAATTTAGTTTTAAATCGATTTATAACTAGTTTTTTTATAAACTATTTTAATTATATAAAACAACATTTGTTTTCTCATTCTTCCTTTTTCACTTCAAAATTTCAAAGTTTTAAAGAGTAAGATTCAAATTTTCAAAATCAGAACTCAAACCACTCAAACAACCATCCAAAACACATCAAAAATCATTTCTTTAAGGTGTTCAAACCTTCATCTTCACCTCCAAACACCAGAACTAAGAAGTCAACTGTCAAAACCTCATATCTTTGACTTTCTGCATTTTACAAGCCATGTCTTGATTCTGGTCATTTTAAAATCATCCAACACTTCAAACACACTCTAAATAACATCCTTAAGTTGTTCCAACAATGGTTTCCTAACTGTAACATCGTTTGGTAGAGGTTCCATTTAGGTCACTTTTGTCAATTTTGCAAGAAGTAGCAAGATTCTGTCCAAGAGGTTTTCCTTTGGTTCAAAGCATCCAAGAAGCTCTTTAGATTTAGAGGTCTATTAAAGGTGTCTCAAGTGTCATTTCATTTTTGTGACAAGGCATTTGGAAGTTGGCAAGTGAGCTACAAGAGGTAAGCTCCCTAAAACTTGGAACTTTGTGAAATATGCATTAATTTGATGTTCATTGAGTTTAAACATGCTTGACATATCATATATGACATGTTTGAACCATTTTGTGATGTTATTATTGATTGTATGATGATATGCCATATAACATGCAAATTTGAAAGCTTTTAGGAACCACTCTTGGATTTTAAAATGTAGGCATTTTTAGAAAAATCTAACACCACCATTGAATTCCTCATAAAATTCTAGGAAAGTTTCATCCTTATTTCACTTAATTTCATTGAGTGTAGATGAAGTTAGAGGTGTTCTTGCATCAAGTTCAAAATCTGAATTCTTTGGGCAAGAACATGGGCATGTGCGCCTTGTCTGGCTAGGCCTAGGCCACTTCTAGGAATATCAATTAATGGATGTGGTTTGATACACGGATGTATCACCACCCCAATGTTTTAACCTGCACGCCTTTGTAACCTTTGACCATCAGAACTAGTGTTCGAATCCCCCCTCGCCCCAATTCTTTCTTTCTTTTGGATTTTTAAAGTGGACATCCCATATATATTTGTGTTTCCCTATATTTTCAACTACGCACATGTGGTTGGATTAGTTTTTGTTTTGACCTGCAAGCAAGCCCCCAGTGTGGGTTCAACACCCATGGGGACCTTTCCCTTCTTTTTTTATACCTATTTTCTTATTTTTATTCACAAATTCAAATGGTTGTAACTTCTTCATTTTTAATTATTTTTGACCCATTCTTTTTGCTAATTTCTCATTTGATGTATATTTTATGTTCGTGAAAAGAAAATGCCAAAAATAATTATTTTTGATACACTTATGTATGTTTAAAGTGTGTGATATTTTTAGGGTTTCTTAAGTTTCTTTTTTGTTCTTTTGAATAGTTCCTTGCTTACAATGAGTTGTTTGGACCATATACATCTTGTATGAACCTTAAATGATGTTGTGAAATTGTACATCCATGTTACTACTTGATTTTGATGCATTTTGTAAGTATACTTTCATATGTAAATACATGTTGAATATTGTTCATACCATGAATCTTTGCATAACTATTTTGCTTGAACATATAATGTTATTTCCATGATTACATGACCATGATATGCATGTTTGACTTTGTGATTGATTTCACCATGTTTGTGTGTTCTTAAAACACTTGTTTTTGTCATATACATACCTATGAACACACACTTGTATGCTTAAACCTCTGTGATATTCCTGCTTACTTATGACCATGTTTGAGCCCTAAATATCCATGTTTAGTTGTTACCAACTTGTCTTAACACGTTGAAATTATATCCATGCTTAAATGTTTAAGTATTGCCTTAATTTGTTCACATGATATTTAAACTTTAAACTTGTCATATTTAAGTATTCTCACATGCCATCTCTTATATATTTATTCCTTCATCCACATATTGTTGTCATGAACATGTCCTTTTTATTCAAGTATGCTTGGTTGTTACCCTTACTATGTTCATTGGATCCTCAATTCATCTTGAATGCATATACTTGCTTGAACTTCTCTGTAATTGCTCCCATGGATTAAATATTTGCTCACATGTTCAAGTATTTCCTTCATAAACTATTACCATGATGAATATATTTCTTTGGTTGATGCATATTCAAACTTCATTTTCAAAACTCTTTAGGCCTCTGTTAGAGTGTAAGACCTATTACAAATTCAAACCTCGCGGGCCTCTATTAGAGTGTAAGACCCATTACATTTTCAAAACTCTTTGGGTATCTATTAGAGTGTAAGGCCTATTGCATTACATTTTCAAAACTCTTTGGGCCTCTGTTAGAGTGTAAGACCCATTGCATTACATTTTCAAAAATCTTTGGGCCTCTATTAGAGTGTAAGTCCCTACCTTCCTCCTCAAAACATTCAATCTTTCAAAACTCAATCTTCAACTTTCATCAAACAAAGCTCTAGTGGCATTCAAAATTAAAACCTCATGGGCCTCTATAAGAGTGTAAGACTCACCACCTTTTCAAGTCAACCATGCTTAGATATATGCCTCTATAAGAGTGTAAGACCCTCCACTTTCAATTCATGTCTATAATTGTTAAATACTTGTCATATACTTATTCATATTAAGTTTCTCTTGACATTTATAACACCTCATCCTTAGTTTATACTTAGTTCAAACATTAGGGTTCCCTCAACTACAACTTAGTTAAAATACTAGTTCCCTTTTGGATGAAGTCAACTTCACCATAGCCTCCTCTTGGGCTTCATACGAGGATCATCAGGCTTCTTAAAAGCACCATAGCCTCCATCATGGGCTTCATACAAGATACCATCAATTCAAAACTCCCCCCCAATTAAGTCTGCCTCCTCTCAGGAAAATAACCCTTTTAGCTTCACATATTGAGCTTTTTACAAGATACAAATAAACCTTTAGCTTCAATATCTTGGGCTTTGAACAAGATACTCAAATAAATCAACTTCTCCCCATAGATGAGACATTGAGTCATTCCCGCAGGAAGATATCTCTTCTATATGCCACAGTTCAAAATCAAACATTAAAAAACTTTTTTCCATATAAGTGATGTAAGTGGCACACTTGTTGATTCAAAATCCAAGCTGAAGTCTTTCTCTTATCATGGTCCAAAAATTTTCTTTCATCTAAGTGATGTAAGTGGCACACTTGTTGATACTATATCCAAGTTAATGTCATTCTCTTTTCATGCAAAGACTCATAAATGAAAATGCAACATTGCTTAGGATTCTTTAGCATCCAAATTCAAAGCTTCTTCCCTTATGATATCATTCTCAAATGTTTGTGATGAATAGGTGGAATATCTCCCTTAAGAATGACAATTTGTATTTTCTTTCAAACCAACAAAACTTTTAGCTGCATCATCTTGGGTTTTGAACAAGATATAAATTCCACCCATAGTTAGGTGGAACTGCGAACGCTCTGATTTGTTAATTTTCTTTTGGGAATACGTAGGCATAAGATTGCGAGATCTTAGCGAGCACATCTTTAAATAAATCCCCTTAGGTCCTCGTACCTTTCATAAAACAAAAACAATAAAAACATCTCATATTCTCATCCTCACCCATAGGTTAAATTTTTTCCAATCGATAATAAACAACATAAATAGATGAAATAACTGATAGTAAAAAGTGTACAAAAGGTTCCTATAGAGTACTATAGATACTCAGGGTGTTGATAGTTTCCCTTAATATAACCAACCCTCAATTCCAGATCTCTTTGCATTTGTAGGGATAACACTTGCACGCGGGGTTAGTTTATATTTCTTCCCCTTCCTTTTAATCATCATAGGATAAATATTATAAATTAGAAAGTGGCACAAGCATGGTTCATGGGAATCTCACCATCTTAGGATTGGGTGAGGTCACAGAAATCGGTCCACACAAAGGAAATCCTTCTCTCTTGAACTAGAAAAAAAAAGAGATAGAGTGGTGAGGCGACCTGTAAGATAATGTACTTCCTTGACGTTGGTGGGGCTTCTTATAGAAATGGCGACCTGACATGTATACGAGTTTGGGACAAGCGATATTAAGGTCGACGAAGTCCACACACATGCACCATCTATTTTTTTCTTTCCTTACCAACACTACATTGGCTAGCTAGGTAGGGTATTTTGTTTCTATAGTTAATCTGACGCCAAATATCTTGTCTACCTCCTTGTCAATTACAACCTTTTTCTCCTCGCCGACTTTCTGCTTCCTCTATGCCACTAGTTTGGTAGAGCGGTGGATGACGATGGGATGACTTACCACATTAATGTTTATCCCAGGAATACTAGATAGGCCTAGGCGAATAAGTGGACATTTTGAACGAGTTAGTCGACTAGGTTGTGTTCTTCTTCCTCGATAAGTGAAGTACCTATCATTTTCACCCGACAAACTGAAAGACCTATTCAAACATCCTTCAAGTCCTTTATGGACGTGAGTCTTGCTACATTTGCGCCCAACCTGGGAACCCA